TGGCGCCTTCAGCCCCGGACAATCTGCGCGCTGGTGGAGGCGTTAACCCAACCTGGCAACGGGCTTCCCCAGGGAGCAGCGAGCGCGGGGTCCGGGCCCGCCAGCGCCCTTTCGCTGCGGTTGGCGCCTCAGCGATCTGACAGCTCAGGCTAAGAGAGGGAAAGACCCAGAGGTGGGCAAGCCCTACTAGTCTCTAGCACAGTGCATCGCTTTAGGCTTAAGGACATCAGGAACAGAAAAATCAAGGATTCTAATTTCCTTTTTTTAAAATCCCAGCAAGACACAAAGTAAACGTGAAGTGACACGCTTTGCCCACGCCAGACTCAAGCATTTGCTCTTCCGTGCCCTACAAGATTCGGTGAGGATGTAGAATTCCCGCAGGAACTCTCTGGACCAGCCCTCAGATTACAGAAACCGGTGCCCTAAACCTGGCCCTTGTGCTGGGCCTTCACGCCCAGCCTTCCACTTGGTCCGGGACTGGCCTAACGCTCACAGCGCTGACAGTGGCGCCGGAACACACACTTAAAAAAGAAGAAAAAGGGACACCCACCCCGAAAAGTCTGTCCCCTGATGGCCTCAGCTGCCGTTCTGGTGTTTGGCCTCTCCTTTCACAAATGGTCTTAGCCCGCTGTGCCAGTCTCAGTTCCAATTCCCAAGTTGGAGTCCTCTTCCAGGAAGGGAAATCTTCCAGAAAGGAGCGTCCTTGGGTGAGCAGACCTTCCCTTTGAAGTCATCTTAAGTCAGAGTGTTTGGATACCCTCCTACTGGAACCTTTATTTTTGCTTTATACCTTCAAAAAAATTCTCTTTTAAAAAGTTGTCATGATCCTCTTTTATTTGCATTCATTATCTTGATTAAAAAACAAGATACACCTAACAGCTGGAAGATAAACTGTGGTTGATTGGCATGGACTTGGAGATGTTCTGGGGCATCTCTAGATGCATGAACTGAGTAGAGGAGAGAAATCAGCCAGTTACTCTTGATGTGGTATTGTTGAGGGTGAGAAGCTCTGGCTTTAGTGTCAGACTCCACCAGATCTACAAGTTCCACATCTTTAGGAAAAACAGTAACACAGACCTCAACAGAGTTGCTGTGATCATGAGTGGGCTGATTTGTGTAAAGTGACTGGTATTTAACATGAGCAAATGATATTGATTTTTTTCAGTTCACCACATTTTTGGTTATATTTCCACCTTCACACAGTCTGTTCCTGGCTGTGTCCTTGGTTTTTCTGGTTCCCAAGAAGCTCAGTCACTGGCCTGTCCACTCCTATTTTAACCCACCTTCTAGTCTGTAAAATGAGTAGAGAAGCTCTTGACTGAGTTTTGGAGAACTCTACACATGGAGTGTTTTGCAGATTTTCTAGGACAGACTCATTTGTAAAACATTCAACAGTGAACTCCGGGGGGGGTGACCAATATGGGCATTGTATATTAAATCACCTGTGATAATAGGAACTGTAATAGCATGATTACATGACTCCTAGCCTGGATGATTCTGGGACCAATCACTAAGTTCCTGAGGAGCTTAGCACCGAGAGAGACAGGGATGGGGTTTTAGGTTTTTGCTTGAGTGATAGAGTTGAAAACAACTCCTCCCAAAGTCACTCTTTAGTTGAAGGGTCAGAGCCCACAACCTTGCAGACAGGCTGATGGCCTCATACAGTATGGGACTTGGAACTGGTGGTTGGGTCTTCCTCCTCCTCCTCCTTTTTCAACATTGAGGTACAGCTTTGCCTCAAATACAGTATGTTGGCAATCACACTTTCTTCTTCTTGACACAAGGAGAACCTTTCTGAAGAGTTTAATATATCTTTATCCAGAAAGAAGGGGTCCCAGGAGCCTAGAGGCTCCAGAGAGCATTTGGGGAATGCTTGTGGAGAAAAATGCAAAGAAGTGTCTTGAAATTGATGTGTTACTTTTTGTCATACATTAGGGTTTTTTTTTTGTACTGGGGATCGAACTCGGGTCCTTGCACTTGCAAGGCAGGTGGTGGAACCACTGAGCTAAGTCCCTAGCCCTGGGGTTTATTCTAAATACAGTAGTACCTGAGTGGGGTTTTAAAAACAAAACTAGGGCCTGGGATTTAGCTCAGTGATTCTGACACCTGCCTCCGAAGCGCAAGGGCCTGAGTTCAACCCCTGGTACAAACAACAAGACTATTTTTTCAGGGTGGCAAGATGATGCATGCTATCAGAGAGAATGAGACAGGAAGACCACAATGTTAGGCCAGTGCTGGCAATTTAGCAAGACTCTGTCTCAAAAAAGACTGAAAATATAGTTCAGTGGAAGAGCACTTGCCTAGCATGCAGGAGGCCTTAACTCATCCCTAATTTAAAAAAAAAATCAACAGCACAAAAATTTGAAGGGAAAAAAAGTAGTGAACTATGTGTTCATCCCCATTTGTTAAAATTTTCATTTACTTTATCTACTTATTTGCTCTAAGTTTTTTTTTTACCCTGCACGAACTCTTTCCTCCCATCTTTGTGTAAGCTGTCCCTAGCCTTTTCTTACTATGGCCAGGCTATGTGCCAGGGTCTGTGCAGGGGAAATTATATGGACTATCTCTTTAGTCATACCTCAATCCTTTCAAATGGTACAACTGTTACTCCCATTTTTATAGAGAAAATGTGGGTCTAGACTTGCCTAATGTCACCTAGAAATTTGCTTCAGAGCTTAATACTTTATACTATCTCAAATTTAAATTTAACTTCATTTAAATTTCACAACTCTGATATATAGTGGGGAGATTAAGAAATGTTCTGCAGGTGATGGAACTGAGACTGAGGGACTACAGCAAAGTCATGACACTGAGAATGAATGTGACAATTGTAGTGCCACAAATATCTAACAAGCCTGTCTCATTACCCAGCCCAGTTTTCCCATATGTAAATTGAGTCCTGAAACATGACTAGAAGCACTGATATGATAGTCCCTAATGAATAGAGGGCTAAGTAAATAACCTGTGAGACACCAGAAGTGTATAAATATTTGGCAATATGACTAAGGGTGGAACGCTGAGCACCTGCTTTAAGTCCCCTGTGCCCCACTGTCATCCTTGAAAATTGGAATAACACTGCTTCATAGAAATATTGAAAGATCAAAAGAATGAATGCTGAACATAGTGCCTGGTATGCCACAAAGACTAAACACAGTCTTTATTATGCCATTGTTACCCCTGTGCTCACATGTAGCAACATAAACTGAACCAAATGATTGCTTGGGCTCCACTTGAGTTGGCCTCAACACTGCAAAACTATCCTTTCTGACATCTATTGTTGCATGTGGGATTCTCTATGTTGGAAATATCTCCTGCTTCACACTTAGCCAGTGTGCCTACCTGGTCCCCACGGCTTCATAGCTCCACATCACCTGCACTGGCAAATGTAGACAGTGGCCCCTTTGGACAGCATAGACTGCTGTGCATTTACTCTGCCTCACACCCTCTGGATCTGTAGTGATACAGTCCTCAGCCTCAAAGAATCCCGACTTGTCTTACTACTGGAACCCTGGCATCCAGAACATTGCCCAACTGGTCTCAGAGATCCTAACAGTGTTCAGAGAAACCACAACAGCCCATTTATTGAGGAAAGACAGCTCCTGGTGTTTTCGAGCAAACTAAAGTACTGGATTCCACTATGGTACACTATTTATAACCTGTAGGATGGCAAGCAGGAGTCCCAAACCTCCCTCTTTGGACAAATACTGTACTCTTTTGAAGCAGTGGGAGGGGTCCACTATTTCTGGCCAGCATATAGAGGACCCCAAAGGTCTGCTTTATTTCAAGTCTGGGGACAAGCTGCACTTTTCGCAGATCTGGAGGGGCAGAATGTGAGTCAAGGAGGTGCTGTTTATAGCCACCAGTAGCTGCAACTTTCTCAGGCAGTCCTGCAGCGACGCCTCGGGATGCTCGCCCAGGCGAAGGTCCAGTGGGCAAGGGATCTGGAGCATGCGGTCGGCCAGCGCCAGGCAGCAGATGGCCAGCAGGGAGGGGACGTAGCTGGTGAAGGCGTAGTCTGCCAGGCTCAGCTCTGCCACTCCCCGCGCCAAGATCTGTGCTTCCAGGGCTTCAGAGACTTCAATTTGCCCCGCCTCCACGCGCTCTTGAGTGAAGTGCTCCAAGAAGAAACTGATGGTGGGTGCACCCAGGCTGAAGTGCAGCTTGTGCAGCACGATACACTCCAGGTTGCAGAGCTGCTGCCGGGAGAAAGCGCCACAGCACAGGGCCAGGAGCTGTTTCACGCCCGGAGGGTGAACTTCCACCTACAATACAGGAGCACTCAGAGCCACCCCCACGGCTTTCAGGGTTCGAGGCCCACCCCAGCCTGAAACCCATTCTTTCCAGAGACACAGGGACTTCACCTGTCCTCCTCTTCCACTTAAATCACCTGGTGTATACCTCCCGCTCAGCTTCTCTAACTACCGTGCAACTGAAAAAAGGTTTGGGAAAATGTTGAAG